CACACACACACACACACACACACACACACACACACACACACACACACGCTGCTTAGTTCTCTGTTTAAACTTCAGTCTGTTAACCTCCCAGAATTTAATGAGATTTCTCTGTAAAATAAGAACGCTTGCTTTTCCCCAGATAATTGAAAGGACCAATAGAACAATATGAGACCTTTCTGAGAAAGGGCTCTAATATTGGTGCTGTGGTGTAAAGATGTCCTATTATTACTATCATGATCATCATGATCATTATTATTATCATTATTTTCAAGTACCAAACATTCATTTTTTCTCCCTTCTACATCCTACCTACTAAAAAAAAAAAGCTGAAGAAATCAAAGAAAGAAAAAAAGAACCCCTATGTACTAAAAATGAATAGGAGCTCTTTTGTGCTGGCAAAAAACTGGAAAGTAAAGAGGTGCCCATCAATTACAGAATGGCTCAACAAATTGTGGTATAAGGATGTAATTCAATACTATTGTGCTATAAGAAATGAGGGAGAAGATGGTTTCAGAGACAGAAAAACTTGTATGAACTGATGCTGTGACAAACAGAACCAAGAGAACAATTTGTAGTCCAACATCAATATAGTTTAAAATGTGCAATTTTGAAATACATCAAGAATTCCGATCAACCAAATGATCCACTATGATTCCAAAGAACTAGTAAAGAAGAATCCTGCCTACCTCATGACAGACTAATATGCAGAATTTAAAAATACATTTTTGACATGACTCATGTGAGAATTTGTCTTACTTAATAATAAACACTTAGTTCCTCCTGGACATACAGTTAGGCCAAACACTTGTAAAGGATCAAAAATCTCATGTAGAAGGTCTTGCAGGGTTCTGGAGCTTGATATTAATCAGCACAATGTCATCCACAAATGAGAAAACCCAATGGGCCTCACCATCTAGAGGGAATCCCTTTTACATTTGGACCTTACTGGACATACTCCTTAACAGCAGCAAAATGCCTTTGATGAACATATATCTGTCTTCACATTTATTATCAAAAGGATAAAGTAGTTATACCTGTATTTTCTTGAGAAGGACATGTATTAGCACAGTGCCAAGCATTTCTCACCAAGCTTGAGGAGTACTGATGGCAGTCAAACGTCATCAGAGGAAGATGTGACATGCCAACTGCTTATGTGGGTGTTTCAGCCACAGCTCCCAAAGACCCAGAAAATGAAGTTCCTGCCACCAAAGTCCTTGGCATTGCCATATAGTTCAACATTAGAAACTGAAATTATTTTGTCTTATTAAAGAAGATTAATTACTATCTGCTTTGCTGCTGCATCCTAAAGATCATGAGACCGTTCCATCTGATTTGCAGATGAACCTATGTGTTGTCTCCCCATTAGATTGTGAAACTCCTTGAAAACATGGATTGTCCTACTTGTAACAGGAGTGCTTAGCACAGTACTTTGCACATAAGTGTTTGATAAATGTTCTGCTCATTCACTCTTTCAAGGAATCTTATGGTTTTTTTTACATATGAATGATTTTTACCACCTGTTTAACATTATGAGAGAGACATTCATTAATACATATATCTTAGAATAGAGGTGTCAAACACTTAGGCATTGTGTCTGAAACACTCCTGAGAGCAGTCCAAACCTGATTAAAATGCAATTGGGAAGTATTTAACAAAATAAGTAAAAATATAATTGTACATAGATAACCTTAATATGTAGTTGTCTGAGTCAATCTTTGGAGCAAAGATCCCGATGTAAGGTTTAGTAGTCTTCATTTCTATTTGAGTTTGACACCAATCTCACACAATGAACTAGACCCATAATTGAGTAAGGTTAAACAGACTGGACAACATTTGGGAAATTGTGCAGCTAGGTGGTGCAGTGAATAGAGCACTGGGTCTGGAGTAGAGAAAACTCATTTTTCTGAGTTGGCCTCAGACACTTCTTAGCTGTGTGACCCTGGGCAAGTCATTTAACCCTGCTTACCTCCATTCCTCAACTATAAAATGAGCTGGAGAAGGAAATGACAAACCTTTCCAGTATCTTTGCCAAGAAAACCTCAAATGGGGTCACATAGAGTCATATATGACTGAACAACAACAAAACAAATTGAATGACCCCAAGTTTCTCCCTGAAATAAAGGCCTATTTTTTTTAATAAACAATATTCCTCCAATGATTCAATATGGGATATGTGGCATGGCAGATTCTGAAGAATTCTGGAATGAGAATAGAAGGAAATATGATGGGCCTGACTAGGTTTCAGCATATTGCCAGTGAATAAATGTACAGAAGAAGTGGCATAAAACATATTTCAAAGGAAATGTATGACTGGAAAAGAAAGTAGACCAATCACATATCAAGAGCAAGGGATAACCAATGAGCAGTCTATATACTCTATTAGTGCTCATACAAGGTCAAGAGATCTACAGAAAAATTCCAGCATATTGGTGGAAGACTTAAGGGAGAACATTCTTCTCTATTAGAATGTAAGCTCTTTTGACTTCCTGCCAAGATGGCAGACTGCCCAGCTCCCACATGCCTACTATAGCAAAACCAGGAAGTTTACACCAAATTGAGTAATGATCAAGAAACACAAAAGCAATCAGGGCTGATGGAGTTCACCCTGGTGCTACAGTACTCAAAATCAAACCTAGGCCCAGCAGCTCTTAAATCCCTCCCTAACACTATGTCCTGAGATGTCAGAGACAGCCTTGAATATCTAACACTGAACATCAAAGATCCAGGGATACCTAACCCTGGGAGGTGGAGGTCAGCAGAGTACTTGAGAGTAGGGATTGTTTAATTCTTCATACTTGCATCCCTGGTGCTTCATATAGCACCTGGCACATTGTTGTTATGCTTCAGTCATTCATATCTGACCCTTCATGATCTCATGGACCATAGCACACCAGGCACTCTTGTCCTCCACTATCTCTCAAAGTCTGTACGAGTTCATGTTCATTGTTTCCTTAACATTATCTATCCATCTCATTCTCTGCCACCCCTTTCTCCTTTTGCCCTCAATCTTTCCCAACATCAGGGTCTTTTCCAATGAGTCCCATCTTCTTGTTATGTGATCAAAGTATTTAAGCTTCAGCTTCAGTATTTGACCTTCCAGTGAACAGTCTGAATTAATTTCTTTAAATATTGACTGATTTTATCTCCTTGCTGTCCAAGGGACTCTCAAAAGTCTTCTCCAGCACCACAATTCACAAGCACAGATTCTGCAGCGCTCAGCTTTCCTCATAAATGTTTGCTGATTGATCAACTTGAACCAAGTTGCATGGAAAGAGAGGACATATGGCTGGGTTGTTATCTTCACTACGGAGGGAGCACTCATAGCAATGAGGTCACATTTCCTTCAAAGTATGAATGTGGCCTGAGCTTCCACAGGGCAGTCTTACCACAAATGGCTTTTAGTGCTCCTGGGCAGTCTTAACTATATATAAGATGACTTGGACAAGTCACTAGACCTCTGCTGTCATTTTGTTTCTTCATCTACAACATATGGGAGTTGTATTAGCCAATCTCTGAGACCCCTTTCAGCTCCAATAGTCTTTAATTCTCTGAAAATGTCACCACTGAGTCTTCACAAAATGTTACTGCTCCTAAAGATTTGTTTCTTATGGCCCCAGGGCAGAGCCATAATCCCATTGTGGAGTGGCCTCCACATAACTGTTATTGATTTGCACAAATATTCGGCCTCCATTTTGCATGTTGTGTGTTCACTTAATGTCTACATAGAAATCAAATGCTGATTCCACATGCAGTGGGGAGGGCAGCTGGGAAGCACATTGTATGTGCTGGTAAATTTTTTCATACTGCTTGTTTACAAAGCTTATGGTGATCATTGTGTTTGAGGATAAGCTCAGAGAAGTTTGGGGAGGAATTGAGTTCACCTTCCATGCTGTTGTTATTCTGAATAAACTGCCTACACATGCATTCAATCTAATATCACCTACTTGAAATTCATGCACCAATAAAATGTGTATATATGTATATATAATATATATATATATATATATACATGACAAAGGGCAGAGATTCTCAAAGTGTGGTCTGGGGCTTGCTGGGGGTCCCCAATACCTTTTCATGGGGTCTGTGAGTTCAAAACTATTTTTATAATATTACTAAGATGTTTTGATTTCTAATATAAGAAATATTGATAAAGTTAATGCACATAAACCAAAG